AATGTTGGTTTGAACCACAAGGTCGGCAGTTCAAGTTCACCAGCTGCTTTGCAGAAACCCTATAAGCAGAACTGATGCTACGACACTTAACAAAAACAATAATGTCTAATGATCACGAGCATTTGTACTTGTGTCTGTTGGCTGCCTAAATGTCTTCTTTGGTGAAGTGTCTGTTCATGTCCATTGCCAATTTTTCAATTGAATTATTTCTCTTCTTCTTGTTGAGGTGTTAAAGTTTTCTGTGCATTTTAGAGACTAGTCCTCTGTCTGAAATGTCTTTACCAAAAATGTTTTCCCCAGCCTGTGGGTTCTCCCTTTACTCTATTGGTGAATTATTTTGATGCACATAAGGGTCTAATTTTTAGGAGGTTCCAGTCATCTGTTTTTTCTTCTTCTGTTTGTGTGATTTTAGTTATGTTTGATCGTGTATTTATGCCATGTATTTAGAACCTCTAAGTTTGTACCTGTCTTTTCATTATGAGCTTTATAGCGTCTAGGTTTTACATTTAGGTCTTTAATCCATGTTGAGTTTGTTTTTGTATATGGTGTGAAAAAAAGGTTTTGTTTAATTCTTCTGTAAATGATTTCCAGTTTTGCCATCACCATTTGTTGAAAAGGTATCTCTTACCCATTTAATTTGTTTTGGCCCATTTGTCAAAGATCAACTAACTGTAGGTGGATGGATTTACTTCTGGGCTCTTAATTCTGTTCCAGTGATCTGCAGATCTTTCATTGTACCAATACCAGGTACCTTTATTTTTGTAAAACAATTTTTCTATGACCTTCTAGCCTATTGTCTACCAACAGTTTTTGGTGATTAAATTTACCAAAAGTAAATTTGCTTTTAATCAACAGCTAATAATATTCAGATCCCAAGTTCTTGCCTGAGATTATAACCTTGAACTCTCTGCAACCCAAGTTTATGGAAGTTGATTTTGAGAAATAATCTTTATGGAATTGCCTTAAGGGAATACGGTATAGCTATTCTACTTGATAATCTCATTTTCACTCTTGAATTAAACCAGAAAATGACAGTGACATCCTTCGACAAGTCACTTATTTTCTGTTCTCTCTCTTCTCCATAGAATAAAGATGGAAGATTGGGATGCTTATCTCTTAAGATTAGAACCTCAAATGTCAATGGAAGTTCTGAACTTCAAATAAAAAGAGCACAAAAGCTTATATTCCACAGAAGCCAGTCAGTCATCATCACCTTTTTGCCAGAGGTGTTATCTTGCCAACCTTTAAATGTTTATCAACAGTCTATAAAGAGAAAGAATAAGAAAACAGGAGAAATATTTGCTTAGTATATAGCATTTTTAGTCCCTAGTGAATGATTATCTCTCAGGTTGTGTTATTAACAACATGAGGATATAAAAGTTAGAGAATCAAATGCATCAAATCAGGTTTTTGGAAATCATGTGATGGTTTCCTAGGGAAAACCCTGTCTTGACCTTCAAACTGAAAATAAAATCAGTCTAGGGCTTCATGTACCAAGATTAAAAACTGACCAGTCTTTCTAGACTGCCAGTGAAGGGGCTAGAATTTGAGGACTTCATCTCTTGCTGCATATGTGAACCACTTGAGGAGATTTTAATGTATGAATGCCTTTTCCCTCCTCCACAAATTCTTGACATAATTTGCCTAGATTGGTATGTTTTAAAAATTAACCAAACAAAAAAATAAATAGATAAAATAAGCCAAGTGATTCCAATGTTCCACCAAAGTTGAGGACCACTGGGCTAGATGATAAGCAGAAGGAATGTTTTGAGTTGTTGTGTTGTTGTTATGTGCCATCAAGTCAGTTCCAGCTCATAATGATCCGATACAGGGTTTCCAAGGAGCAGCTGGTGGGTTGGTGGCTTTGAATTGCTGATGTTGGGGTTCACAGTCAAGTGCTGATCCTACAGTGCCACACTAGGAGTCCGATATTTTGAGTTAGTTCCTTTTAAATATACTGCAGAAATCATGTGTTATAAAAATGATGGGTGATTATCAGGACTGATTGTGAGGGTTGGAAATGTAAAGGCAGACGTTTTACAGCAAGGAAGGGAGAAGGGAGTGATTAACTTTCCAGTCTAGGAGTGGATGTCCCTAGGACCATAACGGAAAAGAGCGAGAGTGGGACCCTATCCAGAGAAGCAGTGATGCCTGAGATGGAGGCAGAGACGACGTGGAGCGATGGGGCAGCTGGGGACTTTTGATCCAGAGAGGGAGAGCAACTGTGTGCTGAAGACTGGGGGGTGGGGGTGGGTTGGGGGGATAGTGTAGAGGGCAGGCTTGCAGGGTATACACTTTGGTTGGTTGATGATGCATGGAGTGGATTGTAACCATGGCAATGAAAGGATATATGATAGAATGAATGTAAAACTAATGTTCTCCCATGTAAGCTATCATATAATTCACAATAAAACATTAAAATAAAAAAGATGGGTGAGCCAAATCAGATATACTTGAAGACTATTTGCATTTAAATGAATTGCCAAGCTTATTAAAAACAACAACACAGAATATATCCAAAAATAACATGACTGGATTTTAGAAACAGGGTCTGTTAGTGAGAAAGATAGACTACTGTTGTTTGAAAATAAAAGAAAAACTCACGGGAAATTCTGAGAGGCAATCTAGAACTCTTCGAAAATTCTTTATTTGTACTGGGTTTGTAACTGGAATGATTTGTTCCTTACATTGGATAGTCATAAGACCAGAATTGCTTTACAAAAAGCCACTTTTTCTTGGTTAATAGTTTGTAGGTAAATAAATTACAAAAAAAAAAAGACTTTAGGGAAAATAAGAGGTCAATATTACTTTCTGACCACATATCATAAGAAGTTATAAAAATGTTCAAAATGTACCAATACCACTACAGAGTAAAATATAGCACACTAGAAGTGTAAAATGTCTTTTTGTTTAATTATTTACCTTTTTTTTTTTTTATAATACCAGTAACAACTCACTGCCTCTCACAATGTTAAACTTCCAACTTTAATGTATTTTTCATATATTCCAAAACTGGGGTAAAAATAATTTTTGACATTTTGTTAAAATTGTATTTTTGTTTAGTCTTCAGAGTTGCATAGTTGGTGAAAAAACACATGCAAACTTAATATTAACCCTGTTATCTTTTGCAACATAAAGTCTTTCACATTAGCTAAGATTCAGAGGCTTTTAATTTATCATACATTATCTGAATTGAGGAGTCCTGGTGTGGCACTGTGGGCTAAAGTGCTGGATTTCAGAGTCAGGTTGAACCACAAGGTCAATCGTTCAAACCACCAGCCCCTCCTTGGAAACCCTATACAGGGTTTGATATGGGTCAGAACCAACTTATGGCACTTAGCAACAATGATCTTAATTAAATGTTTTTGTTTTTTCCAAATAACCACTCAATTTTCTCCTGGTGTGTAGACCCTACATTCTTCTGTTGATATGTTGCTCATTGTTGTTAAGTGCTGTCAGTTGGCTCCGATTCATACAGACCCTGTATAGGGTTTCTGAGGAGCAGCTAGTGAGATTCAACCTCTGATCTTGTAATTCAAACCGACCTTGAGGTCAAGTACTTATCCTATGGCACCACACCCTATGTAGTGGAGACAAAAGTATTGTATTTGAAAGAAAGAAAATATTTGAATATTTTTATATCTATATGAAATGTACAAAATTTAGTCAACTATTTTATTTTATTAACTTAATAAATATGTTAGCATCGAATTTTGCAGTAATCGCACAATTTTCCACCATCACACTGAAAGAGCTAACACATTTGACAAAGAGTTAATATTCTTAATAGGTAAAGGAACTCTACAATTCAGTAAGAAAAATATTACCATACTACTAGGAAAATGCACAACACAATATAAAAACAAAATCAACAAAAATGAGGTACCAAGTAAATAATTGTAAAAGTATAAATTAAAATGAAATGAATAATTTTCCCTTCCAGATTGGCAAATCATTTTTAAATATGATTTTAAAAAGAAGAAAGATTTAAAGACTAGATATAGTACAGAGCTTATCTAAAAGTACAGATTCCACTGCAGTGAGATCAGGATTTAATTCATGATTGTACAGACACTGCACAGATATTTGACTTTAAACAACACACTGTCACCCTCAGCTTCAGTTTCCTTATCTGTAAAATGGGAATAACAATAAATCTTAACTTTGAATGTTTTGTAAAGATTAGGTAAGATAATACACATAAAATGCGTAACAGTATTTCTAACTCAAAGTAAGCTGTTAGCAACTTAGTAATTATAATAATTCTTAATGCTGGGGAGAGTTCAGTCAGTAATTGTAATAATTCTTAATGTTGGGGAGAGTTATGCTTCTCATAGAGTGAACTGCTATATTTTTTCAGGAAATCACTGCCTCAAAAGTTTTTCAAATGTCCATAATCATTAAACCAATATTTTAAGGATATTCTCTTCAAAAAATCAGGTCAAGATACAAATTCATGCCAATTTATAAGATATATTTATATTTTGATGACAAACATTACGACAAACACTATTCTTGTTGTTGTGAAATGCCGTTGAGTCGATTCCAACTCCTAGCGACCTGTGTAGGGTTTCTGAGGAACAACTGGTAGGTTTGAACTGCCGACCTTGTGGCTCCATCTGACCTTGCAGTTCAGTGCATTATACTGCAGCACCACACTAGAACATCTCATCATTTTATGAAATAGGGATGTCTGTTTATGAAAGTACAATAAAGTCACCTATTTAAAAAAACAAAACAAAACTGCTTTGGGATAGGCCTTCCTTTGGAATGCTATTCTGTTGGTCTCTGTTTTGTATTCTGCTTGTTTTGTTTGTGTTCTCTAAACTTGGAAGCTGCAGAATTGAACTGCGCATGCCTTATTTGTGAGAGTGCCTGGACTGGCATCCACTCCCTACTTCACAATAAGTCTATCTTTTCCTCACTTTTCCCACTTTGTCTGACAGCATACAGAGGGAGAAAGTACTGCGCAGCTCTCCTTGCTCTTTATAAACAAAAAGTTAACCAAGCCATAGGGCCACTGTTTCTTGACAACTTTTTTTTTTGTCTCTTTGGGATAGCCTCTATAAAAATCAAGGAAGAATATTTATTTTGTCATAATAAAGTGTGACAGTGATGAAACATTTTTACCAAATGTGAAAAATACATTTGAGCTGGTCTGCTTTTACCAATCTGCCACACGTCCTATACGAAATTCACTTATGGGGTGAGGAGATGTTGCTTGAAATTGAGATTCCATAAGAGGTACTGTGACTTCTGACCCAGAAGACACACCATTGATGTTATGGTGCATCCACTGACTTTCTAGAAAAGAAGGCAAGAGTGGTTTCATGTGTGACTTCCATGGAGAAAATCATTAGGGGCAGAAGGAGTTGGTTTGTGATCAAGGTACTAAAAACATGAGGGACTCCTTTACCTCTTTCATCTTGGAAAGCAGTAGGAATTTACTTAACTATCAGATGCTTCTGAATAACACAAGGTAGATCAGTTTAGTCAATTCTTTCAAAGGAAGAAAATAACAAATGATGATTTCAGTAATACTGATGTGGTGCTGTGGTATAAAGCACAGGACTGCAAGATCAGTTTGAACCACATGGCCGGTGATTCAAACTCACCAGCTACTCCTTGAAAACCCTATAGAGGGTCGCTATGAGTCAGAACGAACTCAACAGCATTTAACAACAACAATGTTAATCAATAACATTGTTTATTTTCACAACCTAACATTAAGTATAAATGAATAAATGGATCCCCAGTGTGTCTTACATTTACCTCTTTGGGATCAAGAGTTTCATGTTCAGGAATAGTCACCATTGGATGAGTCAGCTTCACAGAAAAGATGGCCAGGATGTGATCAAGAGTAGAAGTGAGGAGAAATAAATATTTAAATTTCATGTAGTTAGATAATATCATAAGCACATTACTGCTGAGCATAGAAGATTCTACCAAAGACAAACATTAAGATTCAATTACTATCTTAAATGGAAGATATTCCTAACAAAGAAATACGTTTGACAGACGGTCGGTGAGCAATTTGAGCACAAGATTACAACTTATTTATCTTTGTGTCACACAAAAATTTAACAGTGCTTACACAGATTTCACCATAAGGAAATAAAGTTAAATTTTTGATTGAACTCTCACTTAAAAATGTCAAATTGAAAAGTCTCAGGCAAAAGAGAAAAATCAAATACAGACACACAGTAAATGTAGCTATAGCTACAGAAAGTAAATATTTACTGAGAGCATACTTAAGGCATTGTGCATTGTTGTGAATATTAATTATCTCAATATTTCATGATAATTTTATAGCATAGATTTTTAAATAGAGATATTTTAACAGAAGAGGGATTCTTTTGCTTATGTAGAAATTTTTATTATTGCCTGGGTCTTCTAAGTACCATATATACATTGTACTTACTAAAATAGAAGAAAGTCATATAACAAAAAGGGTAAGAAAAACAAAGTAAAAGATGCACAAAGAGAAAGGGAATGTAACTCGGTGTTAATGGAATCTGCTTACCCCTTGTTTGGCAATCACCCTCTATTGTTAGACTGATGGACTTTGTTTGCCAGGTACAGTTCTTTCTGCTTGAGCCCTGAGAAAATCAGGGTTTTGGCAATGAGTGACCCCTTTCATACTCAACTGTGCCCTATTTTGTGCAATAATTTAATGGAACACTGACTAGCTCTTGATCCTCCACTGATTTACAGAAGCTAAACAATTTAGCTTTGGTCCTGGGAGGATGCCAACACTGGCTTCTAGGGAAACCAAGGAAATCTCCACCTAACATTTCCCCAGACTTTGCTCTGTTACAGCAGACTTTCAAGAATGGAGCCTGTTTTTATTTAAAGCTGTAGTTTCACTAAATTTCAGCCATTATATACTATTCCTAACCTTAAAATCTTCTTGGTTTATCATAGGATCAGAACTTCTTCTATCTATCTTAGACCATCACTTTAAATAGAAGTATGGTCTATTCCCAGAGCCAACTAGAGATTTAAAGAGCATTCCAAAAAGTAACTGAAAGCATCTTCTTTCTTCTGTACATTAGTGTCTCCTGAGATGTTAAGCATCACTTAGATTTGGGACCCTATGCACTACTCACTACTTCAAACCTCAAACCCAGGTAATTAGTCTGGGAGACTACAAAGTCTTTACTATACCTAGTCTAAGTGATGCAGTTATCTATATTGTTCATAAGAGGTTGTATAGTGTCAAATCTCCACTCCCTAGCATTCTCAGATATAGTAGAATATTAATCATAAAATTTGAAAATGTTCAAACAATACAATGACCAATTGAGATTAAAAAGGTAATTAAGTTATTATGTTATGCCTACTTTTATATTCCTTTCTTTCATGAGTTTACATCCATTTAATTCTAATCTTGGATTTCAAAAGCTATATGTTGATTATTCTAATCAACAAAAGAGAACAGAAATGACTAATATAAATTAATAGATAAGCCCCATCATTTATACTTGATTTTGGAAGGCTTTCTTCTCTTTACAACCCTTTATCTCTGTAAATTTTTCCTCTTATTGTCCCCAGGCTCACTGAAAAGATGTAATAAACTATAATATCTGTGCTTCATAAAAGTTTATGGATATTTAGTAATGCTAATTTATTGTGCATTCACATGGTTAATTCTCTGTTTGCATTTGTTCATTTCATTTTCAAAGTAAACTCAGTGAGGTGGGCACTAAAATTACCCTGCTTCACAGATGAGGAAATGGAAGCATGGAGAGGTTGAGAACATTACTCAAAGTCCAGAATTAACATGTTGTGGAATTAGGATTAGAAGGCAAGGAGACAGTTTTCAGAGATGATGCTCTTGAAGCAAATATGCAGTAAGAGTATTCGACTGGGAAAACAGACAGGGGAAAGGTGAAGGGAAGACAAGAAGGGAAAGGTGAGTGTCCTTTAGCAAAAGGAAATGCCACCTACTGAAATCAAAGACAGATTAAAATTAAGGCAGATTATGCAAAAGATTTCACAATCTACTTTTGAAAATTTTGTTATAAAGTAGCATCAAGTTGGTTCATACTAATAACAGCCTGTATAGGGTTTCCAATGAGCAGCTGGTGGGTTTGAACCGCCAACCTTGTGGATAGCAGTCCAATAGTTATCCTACAACAATGGTCAGGAAAATTAGTCAATGAAAACTTTATGAATCACAACAGAATATTATCTGATATAGTGCTGGTAGATTATCCCCCAAGTTTGGTATGCACTGAAAATACAATAGATTCAAACATAACAACTATGAATATGGCCCAGGCAATGTTTTATTCTGTTATACCAAAGGTTGTCATAAGTCAAAGTCGACGGACTCCACTGTAACTAATAACACCAAAAGCCAAGAGTGTCCCATTCAGAGAACAGAGGCAGTTCAGGAGTGGCTGAGGGAGGAAGGTCACACAGGTATGTCAGGATGAGAAATCCGGGCTTTGTTCTGTAGTCAATGACACAGAATTAAAGTACCTTTAACAAGAGATGGGCTTGAGTGATTAGATTTTTATTTAAAAAACTCCCTGTGCCTTGTCTGCCAAAGGTTAATTGGAGAAAATTTGGAAGATATTGCATGAAAAGACTGAGTGAGCTAGAGATGATAGATGGTCAATAATTAAAGAGAGAGATGGAGATAGATAAAATCAGGTTTAAGTGGAAGCACTTTTTCTGGGTGATGCTCAGCCGCCTCTTACTCTCTTGGATGATGGGGGAAAGCAACAGTTGGCATTTTGTTGAATAGGAAAAATAAATTGGGAAACGTTGAAGAGAAATAGAAATCATTGATACTAAGGGATAAGAGCTGGATGCCAAGATTGTGTAATGCATGAGGACTAGAAGTGTCAAGTAGGGAGGACAATAAAACATGGTGTAAAAATCCTGTCACAGTAACGATGGGAACAATGAAACTGAAACATCAAAATGAATTCTACCTAGGTAGAAGTTTGCTATACAGAGAGCAGGATAAAGAGAGTCACTTAAGTAGTTTACTTAGTTGTAAGAGTTCTGGAGAATGGATTACAATTTTGCTTCAAAGGAAAAAAAAAAAAAAACATAATGGAAAAGTTCCTAATTTTATCATGAGAATGTTCTTCAACATAGAAGGATCAAAGATAAGTAAATCTCGGGCAAAAGGAGACAAAGTATACTTTCATCCTGGAGGAAACTCCAAATTCAGATGTTGTATAAAACTAGTTAGACCTTTGCTCACTCAGCACTGGTGGATTATCAACAAGTGATGTTTGAATAAAATGTTCAGTTGATTTTTATTACACTCTTGATCACAGCTGTCACCAAACTAACAGAAAGCCTTGTGAAGTGTTTGCTATCAGTGTGGGGCTTTCTCATAAATGTCATTGATTCTCCAGAGGAGACAGAAACTTCTATAATGAAGTTAAAGAAAGAAAACCCCTTCAGACCAACCGGAGAAAAGAGAAAACTGCAAGTAGGAAAAACAAAATTTGTGAAGTTTGAGTAGATCATTAATTAAGTCTTTATTCTCCTTGAGAAATGGAATTCAAAGTTCTTGTGAAATAGTCCTCTCTTCAGGCACGAAGATGCAGTAAATTTTCTTTTATGCCGGAAACTATTAAACTGAGGAAGTGTTGAAAGAAGTTTTGCCATTTTAAAATCGCTGAGAGTACTACACATTCTGTTCAGTTTCCACTTCTTTTGGATTGCTTTCTTGTTGAACCACATCCGCTTATAAACTTCCTTCAAAACATTTGCCCTGAGTAATCAGTACACTCTTCTGTTTCACCACCTAGACTTGGGAACTACTCAACTAGAGCAAAACCTTCCTAAGAAGATCTCTGAGAAGTAAACTTCACAAAGTACTGTAGCAATACTGATATAGCATTGTGTCTGTTTCATAAATATCAAATTACCATTTTGAGGCTGTAAATCATTAGAATTAATGGTTATGTGCTACTTGGTTTTAGGTCTCCTCACCCAGGGCCCTCCTAGCATGGAATAGGCATTCAATGAGCATTGAACAAGACAATTAATAAAAAGAAAGAATATCTTGTAAAATGAACGTGGTGAGATAAGAATTAAGAATTGTTTACTGTGTTCCTGAAACTGTCCCCATTTACATGAAATTTTGCAAACTGGAGCCCCTTAAACCAGGACTATAATGTATGTGTGTTCTGTTTGACATTTATACTTCTTCTGCTTTAAAAACAGTTGAATTCATTGTCGGCATTTAAATCCATAGATTCTACACACAAGTTTATATTTCTGGTTTCTTTTGAACTAGTCAAAGTTTTCACACTAGGCCTGAAATTATCCAGCTCTGAAGAGCAGCCCTCTCCTATTAGATGGGGTTGGAGTCCTGGTTTGGAGCTATGGGTTAATGTGCTGGACTGCAAGGTCAGTTTGAACCACAAAGTTGGAGGTGCAAGCTTACCAGCCACTCCTCAGAAATCCTATAGAGGGTCACTATGGGTCAGAACCGATTCAATGGCACATAAGAACAACAAAGATCTGTTTCAGATGATGCTACAGGGACTACCTAAAGCTTTAGTTAAAGATTTAGTTGCTAGGTGAAAGGTGGGTGGTTTGAACCCACCCAGCAATGCTGTGGGAGAAACACCTGGTTATATAATCTCGTAAGTATTACAGCCTAGAAAACCCTATGGGGGCAGTTCTACTCAGTCACATGAGATTTCTATGAGTCAGAATTAACGAAACAGCAGCCAACAACAAAGATTTTCACATTAGCACAATCCTCACCCTTTCTACTATGAGGAGGCAAGGGTCATAGGTCAGCTATTATCATGTTTATACATATATATCAATATCTAGCTTTTGTC